AATCTATCAGAATCAAAGTAATGATGTAAGGTAAATGTCTATGAGTAACTAACTGAGAGATGTAGACAAAGATACGACCAACTGCCATCTCTTCTATTAAATTTCAAGAGAAATAGCCATAAAAAAACTGAAATTTCCGCTATGCAAGAAGATGTAGGAAAACATTAAACTGTGAAAGAATCTGCTAGTCACAGATGGTCAGAGATGTTACTGAGATTGAGCAAAGAAGGCATTAATATAACAAAGTAGACATGGGGAAGCTGGGATGAGCAGATATTTCAGATATCACAGACATTACAATTTGTTTCTGCATATGTATTTACTTATTTATAACAGATCCTCTGACTGATAGCAGGCACCTTGCTGTCTGAATTAATGTATACCTTTCCCAGACAACCTTTCAACGAGGTGAGTATGTGACTAATTTCTGACCAGGGGAATTAGTATGTGTGAGGTATATTCATAAGAATTAGGCTTGTTTTCTTTCCTGCAGTTTCCTTCTGGTAGAAAGGTGGATAGGCTACCGGCAGCTATAGGAGCCATCTTAAACCACAAAAAGACCTTCAACTAGAAGTTGGTTAAATGTTACAAATAATTTTAATTGTTATAGGCAAAACATCAGTTTAGTGTGTCTTTTTTTATTGAGCCCTTAAACTGAAGATTTTTCATTAGGGTGACAGGAATTTAAATTTTTCAGTGGGTTAATAATATTTTATTAGGTACTAAATACTACAAATTAACCTTAAGGTTAACTATATTGGCAACTGAGAGTAGTATAATTTTTGGAAGTATAATATTATAGAAATCTCCAGTTGAAAAGTAGTAAAACAGTAATTATCCTTGATAAACAAGCACAGGTAATTTTTCTTGAAATCTCTTTTAAATGTTCATAATGTCCAAGGTTCATAATAAATATAAAGACAAGGTACTATGTAAAGCCAAATATTAAAGATGAATCTTAAAAATTCATATTTCAACAAGAAAGTATTCCTCATCTACATTGTTCCTTAAGCTTTATAAAACACATGTGTTTTGAGATTTATTAAAAAAAGAAATTATAGTGTTTTGAATTAGATCTTAGCCCTGAGGTTATAAATTACATAGCTTCCAAATTTAGCACTGTTTGACAGATAACAAAATATAACTATTCTTCAGTTCAGAAATGCTCTTAGGCTCCATTTTGCTCAATAATTTTATGAAAGTCATATTCGTACTAATTGTGAATGTATCCTTTTATGTTGGGCTTACAAACTTTTGTTAGGAATAATGTATTAGTGTAATTATATTCTTTTCAAGTGTAAACACAAGATTGCTACTATTTCCTTCTATTGAAATTAGAGTAGTTACAATTTATATTTAATTCCTATGCTAAATACCAGCATGATACTTGTTTTTTATAAAAGGATTTTTAATTCCAGGTAAGAGTGAAAGATTAAAGATATTTATCTAATTTTGCTCCCAACTCAACCGTAAGAATTGTAGTACAGAACTTTTTCTTTTTCTTTTTCTTTTGTTCTTTATTTAAAATCAAGAACAAAGAGCCAGGCACCAGGAGCTCATGCATATAGGAGGCTGAGATCTGAGGATTGCTGTTACAACCTAGCCCAAGCAGGAAAATCCATGACATTCTTATCTCCAATTAAGCAGAGGTGGAGCTATGGCTCAAGTGGTACAGTGCTAGTCTTGAGCAAAAGCTCAGAATAGCACTCCAGCCTGAGTTCAAACCCAGTTGTGCACACACACACACACACACACACACACACACACACACACAACAAGGAAGATGAAAGGAGAAAATTTCGACAAATATTTAGAAGCAAATAAAGCACTTGAACAAATAGTAATTAAGAGACTACTTGAGTAAAGCTAATTTGCAAGAGGAAGGTAGAAGCAAGCAAAAACTGATTTTCTACTTAGAATTCTACACCTAGCAGAGCAAACAAGTATTTAAGAAGGTAAAATAAAAACCAATTTTAGAATTGAGCATGTCATTGGGCTCATGGTTGTGAGTTGAGATATACGTGCGTCCACTGATTGCTTCAAGTCACAGGCTCTACATTTTCTTCTTACAATTTGAATATTACCCTTGAGAAATATAGTTACTCCAGTGTATTAAATTTCTTTCATTGTTCAAAGTAACCCACATTTCATTATACTTAAGCTGAGCATCTCATACATGCATAATCACTTAATAGGTATATTAAATACCTATTTATGAAAAATTTTGGATATCTTCCTGGAATTTGATTTAATAACAAATTATATATTCCATATTATGTTCAGGTTGACAATACAGAGATTTTTTTTTCAAAATTCATTAAGGCTGTAAAGTAAGTATCCACATTTTCTGGAAACATAAATCAGTATTTTCTGACTTTTTATCAATAAAACTGCATTTTTCTACCTACTCCTTAGGAATTTAAAAATAAAGAATGGAGATCTAAATAAAGGTAATTTAAAATAAAATCAAAATATGAATGCTAAAAGGAAACTAATCTAAAACCTAAATAAATTTGTTAACTATGTTACCTATCAAATGATTTTCATTAAAGGCCTCTCCTCCTCCTCCTCTTCTTTCTCTTCCTCCTCCTCCTCCTCCTTCAGTCTTGGTGTTGTTTATTGAACACATGGCTACATGATCTCCTCTTAAGGCTGGTGCTCTATCACTTGAGTCATGCCTCTACTTAAGGCTTTTGACAGGTTAAATGGAATTAAGACTCTCAAAGTCTTTTCTGCCCAGGCTGGCTTCAAACTGGCATCCTTAGATCTCAGCCTTCAGAGTAGCTAGGTTTGTGGGTGTGAGCCTCTGGTGCCTGGCTCCAAATTTGTATATTTTAGGGGACAATCTAAGTAATCCTTAAACATTATAACTTGAAGCAAAGTTATTACTGAACTATGATGTTAAATATTTTGAAAGGACTTGAGGATTTCATTTTTTTATCTACAATGAAATTTAATTATGAATAATTGGAATTCGAATAAATATTTCACAGGGCTTCTTCTCCTTTCTTTGGTCATAAATTTTTGAGAAAAAAAAAACTTCCAGTAATACGTTGACATCTAAATGCCATCACTGATTATTAATATTGAGTCCAAATCCTCCTTTTCCTTTGAGTAATTCACATTGAATAATTCACCTGTAAGTAATTCTTAGGGTATGAGTTGAACATCAAATATATAAATGAATATTCCCAACAACCTCTCAACAGAGAAGTTAGATCATGACTGAAAATTTAGAATGATTTTTGAATGACTTTTCTTTCTCACTTTAAAGACATTTTCTATCCCAGTCCAGGTTTGCCTTGTTCTGAGTAGCACTCTATCTATCTATCTATCTATCTATCTATCTATCTATCTATCTATCTATCTATCTATCTATCTATCTAAATATTTATTTTTAATCTTCTTTTTCCAGAAAACTGAGCAGTGGCCTGTAGGGCCTGATGCTTCACAAGACATCAGGGTAAGTATTTTCCTGAATGAAAAGAGGAGTAGAAGTATCCATTTACACATGCAAGAGAAAAACCCAAGTCAAGGCTGAAAGTAAAATGGACATAATTTTAATGATTTTTTTAAATTTTGTGCATTGGATTCAAACAGCAAACTGTGTGCACTCAACTGTTATCACAATGTTGGCAAGAGGTCTGTGTCTTTTTTTTTTTTTAACCTTTTTACACACAATTGTTCACTACAGCATGTTGTCAGCCTCATGGAAACCTGGGGTGTGGCATGGTAAGCAGTGGTGGTAGTGCACCTAGCTTTTATATTATCTAACTTGAAAATATTTCTCTTCTATGATTCCTTTTTTTTTCTTGATAAAAATAGTTTTCACCAAACGTTGGTGGTGCACACGCACTACCATTCATGCTTGACAGCAACACCCCGGACAGGAACACAGGTTCTTATTTTGTTGATAAAAAGTATTACAAAAATTTCCATACAAAAACTATTTTCATAGAAATCTTGCATTTCCACAAATAAACCTGAACATTTTTTTTTGAAAAAAAAAACTGCTCAAGAATTTTGTTCATTTAACATTGTGACTGTACCGATCAACGCAGTCCACTTCAAAGTTCTTGGCACAGACTTTTCTGTAGATGACAAGTTCCCTTTCTCTTATCCCCATGATCTGCCCAGACTCCATCAAGTTCATTTAAAGCAGATTAGAAGGTTTGGATTGACATATCTGAATCTTAGAACAAAAGCTTCAGTCTTTCACATAGCTGTCAGTACTGAACCCTCTTTTACAATTTGAGATTACAAAACACCATCTCTTTAACTCAGAATCAGTGAAACAACTGTTGCTTTTTTTCTTTCTTCTTCTGTTTTAAATTTCTAGTGTAGGGGAAGGGAAGGGTATCAGGGAATTAGGTAGGAATCTGGTAGAGTTGCACAGGAAATCTCCTGCCTTGATAAATTGAAGAAAGAAAACGTTATTGCCTTGGTTAATTTCTATCTCAATTATTGACACAGACTATCGAGGGGGAAAAGAAAAAAAGGAAGAAAAAAGAATTGATGAAGATTGGCTTTATATTCCATTTGCCATGGAATTCAGATGTGTTTTGTATTACATGTTTTTCACATCCTATAAACTCATATTGCCTATTCAGATGATAATTATACTGAGTGTGAGGGTGGGGCTAGTAACATGATCACCTCTATTTGAGTGTTCCGTAAACTGTACTGTTTCTTGTATCACTACAATTTTTGCTGATTCTCAGTACTTTTTATTTGCTTAAAAGACTCTTACTTGCCATTGGGCATTGATATTCCATCTCCTGGCAACAGTTGGGCTTCAGAAGGAACCTGTAATTTCTCATTGGACTGCATTTGAAACCAGCCACAAAAATGCGTATGTAACATTCACTCAGAAGAAGGGAGAACCCATGATAAACAGTGTAACCCCGTGTTAACTTGGTTGATCCAGGATGCTTGTAAATCAAGTCTGATCATCGCAACTGCTCAGATCACAGAGTCTCTAGTTCATAGACACAGCGGCATGAGGTAACTCATTTTTATTTTGCACAGGTTGCATATTTCCACAGGAAACATTCTCGCTAAATTGTTTGGAAAAAAAAAAAAAGACGACAGTTTGTGCTTGGGTGTTTGGCCTCCCAGCTTCATGCCATGGTTTCTTTACCTGGCAGCCTTCTGTCGTTAAATGTGTGCATGTTGATAACTTCTTCTGTTTTCACAATAACTGGGGCCTGCGGCTTGTGTTTTAGCCGACGCTGACACTTCAGAGATATCCTCAGCTCTTCTACCATAGCACTACAGAAGGACCTCTACAGAAGAACACAGAAAAAGTGAACATTACAAAACAGAGCTACTGCAAATGCTCCCAAGCAGTGTCAAAATCATTCTCAACAGACTTGCCAACATAGTAGCCTTGGAGGTATGGTAAATCTCATTATAAAGGTTATCACAAATTGTTACATTTTTGAATACAGAACACATAGTTGAAACATGCCAGCTAAGTGGTTTAGTTTAAAGAAAATTTCCACTTGATGAAATAAAGAGAAAAGAAAAAACAACCTCTCCGGTCATGAAGATGTAATTCATACATATTCATATTGAATTATATTTTTTTCTGATGACACTATGTCAAATTGATTAGCATAGGACAGAATACTACCCTACAATTGAAATGCAAGTATACCCATATCTATACCAGAAATCCACTGTAGAAATAAATGTACTGCTTTCCAATTCTTAAGATGAGATATGCAAATTTTCTCTAAACTTGGATTTTTTTCCATTGTACATTTCAAAACAATGAAAACAGCACTCAGACAGACATAAAAGTATAAAAAATACTTTCTAGTAGTTAATTACATATTTTGTGATTATTCCTATAAAACATGGGTGATGATTAGAAACAAACATGATTTAATCAAATAGGACAAATTGTAACATTTTAACCATCTACAAACAAATAGTATTTTAATTTTGTCATCAATTTGAGATCTAGAATTCATCTCATGATAAAAATAAGTGATTTTATATATGATATACATATGTTGATATATATCATATATACCTATATTATATATTCCCATCATTTTGGCAATAGATTTTTCTGTATCTTGGTCTCCTTCTAAATCATACTTCGGAATCATAATGTATGAGTACAGAAAAAAAATAGTCTCTATTCCCATCTGTGGTTACGATACATGTGGGTTAGTTACACATAGATCAGATTCATGAACAAACTACAAATTACAGTTGAAACTCATATGGACTAATTCTCAAATTAGGGTCTTTTGTACAAGGACCAAAACTGTAAACAATGATCAAACAAGTGTACATGGATGAGAAACTTACACAACTCTAAAAAAGTGCTTTGAGAGCATGATAAAATTAATCTAATAAGCATGGAAAGACCTATTGGTTGATTTAGGTGCTGTTACTTTACTCTTTATTTATCATACTGATTCCAAATTCATATAAGGTAAAATATGTAATGACACATATACATCTATATCTATATAGGTAGATTATAATGTATAAAATTGAAGTTTTAAGTGTACTTAGAATGCATGTGCCTTTGTGACATTCATAACAATATTGTGAATTGATTAAATTTATATGTATTAGACAAAGATTAATTAAGAAGAAGGTAACAACATTTTGCAGGTCACACCTGTAACTCTAACACAACATCCTGACACCCAGGTTTATGATTTGGGCCCTGCTTTGGGATCTTTACATTTATATATGGCCATGTCTTCCTTTTTTTTTTTTTTGGCCAGTTCCTGGGTTTGAACTCAGGGCTTGGGTGTTGTCCCTGAGCTTCTTAGGCTCAAGGAGAATGCTCTACCATTTGAGCCACAGGCCACTTCTGGCTTTTTTGAGTAGTTTATCAGAGAGAAGAGTCTCATGGATTTTCCTGACCCGGATGGCTTCAAACCACGATCCTTGCATCTCAACCTCCTGAGTAGCTAGGATAACAGGTATGAGCCGCTGACACCTAGCTCTCGGTTTTTGTTTTTTGTTTTTCCCTTTATAGATTTTTTAAAACAATTTGTTTGGTGTTCCTCCAAACTCTGCCTATTGTGTTTCATCAGCAAGGGGACACTGTTAACAGGATAATCTCTCTTTTAATGTCAAATATTACTAGCATTTTCTTCTTTGAAAACAAGTGAGATCCAAATCTCCTGTTATCTAACTTATATTCTGACTTTTCTGATTCACCCTTGTGCCCCTCGCCCTACCAACTCTCTTTCTTTCCTTTCACACAGCTTTCTCTGCTTGAACATATTGCTTGTCTCCTTTGGTTATCCTTGCTCTGAAACCCTGCTGAGTTCTTTTATTCGGAACCTACCTCCAACTTTATCCCTTAGCTCAGGATATGACTCAAGTTTTACCTTATTTAGAAAGCCCTTACTCTGGGCTCATTATTCTCACCCTGTTTAGTTTTATGCTCTCACTATTTTTCACTCATCATCATGTTTTTCTTGATGGCCTCCAGGTTTTCTATGTAACAATCTATGACTAAATTTTAAAGAACATGCACACATGTACTCTTCAACTATTGATCAAGTTAATAATAACTACACTTACCCCTTATATTTTTATTCTTATTAACATATGTTTCTAATTCCAATTGTTGAAAGAGATTTCTTTTTCTTTTTTCTCTTAGAAGTTTAGCAGACTATAATGCAAAACTTTAGTGATTGTTTAATAATGAACTAGCAAAAACATTAATTTATTAGAAACTGTAATGGGTGATGATTAAATGCTGCTCATGAATTGTCCATTAACTACATAGTCACTGCTATGCATTATTTATTCTGTGTTAAATTATACACTACTAATATTTATGAGTTGTACTTCAACTGAAGTATCTATATGTCATTTGGTTGTCAGAATATGGTCACACCTGTTTCTTGTTGCTTAATACCTACTATTAGATGCAATTATTAAGAACATGATGATAATGATGATGAAGATGATGATGAAGACAACACGGTAGAAATGGAAAAATCTGACTCCAAAAGGGGGAGGAATACATAGTCTTGAGGTAACTTAGTCTTGGCACTCTGTTGAAACATTTAACATAAAATTGGTTAGATAATACAACATGGTGAGAAAGTGATTCCATTGACATCATAAAATGTTAAAGGATGTGAATGATCTTTACATTGTTGGAACAATAACTTTGATTAATCTGAACAAATTCCTTCAAATTTCTCATACCTTTACTTGGCAATTTCAACTTTCAGACATTTTATTTTTGGCTATATAAAAAAGAGAAACTAAGTAATGGATTTTCTTAGAAAAGGTCTTATAAATGTACAGAACTCCCAGCTATGGAATGACGATTTATTTCTGGTAAATTGAGAATATTCAATGCCTAATACCTTGCATTATTTCAGACTATAAAACCATATATATTTAAGAAATTATATAAAATATAAAATCTGTAATGCTAAAATATAAGAAAGCTCCTCCAAAGCCCAAAATATTTTGATATTTTATAATTTTTAATTCTTAAGGTAATTACATTTACAAATTAGAAACTATTTTAAAATTAAAAGATAATAATCCTCTTTACCATTTTAGACTTTTTCTATTTTATAAACTAATACATGAAAATTCTAGTCAAGAGTTTTTAATTAGATCCATAATGTTATTTGCATAATGCAAAATATCATTTGATTAACTTCTATCTGAATAAGCTAAATTTTGCCAGTACTTATTTATTTATCATGTAATATCAGCCAATAAGTTATGTTATTAATAAAATTACACAGTGAGTTATTTGTTATTTAGAGAATAATTCAAATCCAATAAAAACTTTGTTGACCTTAAGACTTGAGTAAGAATTTGGAATTGACAGGCAAATTAAATGGATTTAAAGATATAATAAAATATTACTTACTCGTTTACTAAGGCAAGCATTCTCCTTATTCTCCCTTCCCCCCTTCTGTCTCTCTCTCCATCTGTTAAAGCTCTAGAATGTAAATATAAATTACCTATCTTTATCTTGATACTGATTTGTGTATCTACAGTTGCAATCATATAGAATTGTGTTAGAGTCCTTACTCTTAGTGCATGTTGCCAAAGTTTTACCATCATCATTAAATAAAGTTTTAATTTGGTGTTATTCAAGAAAGAGATTGTTCTGCATACTTCAGATAATGTTTGGAAACTTCAAGGATTTTACTGAACTAGGGAAATAAGTCTTTAAAATGTTCATGTGGACTTAATAGGTGTTTCCTAGGTTACCATAAATAAACAGGAGTAGAAGGGAGAAGAAAAGGAAGCAGGAAAAGAAAAACAAGGAGGGAGGGAAGGAGGGAGGAAAGGAGGGAGGGAGGGAGGAAGGAAGGAAGGAAGGAAGGAAGGAGGAAGGAAGGGAAGTGGAAGAGTGGGGGAAGAAGAAAGGGAAGAAAGAAGGAAGGAAAAGAAGAAAGAAGAACTGGAGGAAGGGTAGGAGAGAGGAAGGGGGAAAATCTTTTAAAAATATTTCCCTATAGGGTGGAAATGGATACTATACATGGTGTCTTCAAATAAAGAATAGTAGTCCTAAGAATGCAAACAACAGTAAAAATGGTTTTCCACATTTAGTTAACAAACTACAGAAAGAAAAAAGAAAGCCACAAGGATACTAACCATTATTAAAAACCTCTTTTAGTAACTTTCAAAAGTTTACTAAACAGTGTCTGGATGGTATGGTGGCACTAACCAAATAGAAGATTCCTGAAATGAAAATTTACATCTTTGAGCTGTTAGCACGTATAATTGCATCAAGTAAGTAATACTCTTCATATTTTGCTATACTGAATGAATCAACCCATATTAACACAACCCTAATTCTTGAAATAGCAAAGGCTTGTAAATCTTACAAGTAAGAATTTTATAATAATTACGTTGCCTTTTTAAAAAGCCCTTTGGCAGATAGAGTTTAATAAAACACACATATATAGTTCATAGGTATTTTCAAAAATATCATTGTTGGTATTACAGAATTATTGATTCTTAATAGTTTAACTTCCAACTTTACAGGTACATGTACATATATAATATGTCATTTGGAGAAGCACAGAGACATTAAATATTGTACATCTAGATGGAAACGTGCTTCACCATGAAAACTGACATATTTCAATTTTACTTTTTTAAACCAGCAATGGATGAAAAAGTGAACAGTGCTTTTTGTAAATCTTAAGCTCATCTCAATGTTGAATAAATGTATTTATTTGTCACCAAAAATCATATAATATGTTACTGTTACATGACTCTTCATGGATAAAAATCTCTTTTATGTGTCTTGCTATGC